ATCTTAAATAAAAGTTCCCGTGCGCAACTCCATTCATCTTCCTCCTCAGACGACCCTGACCCTCAGACGACCCTGACCCACAGACCCCTCCCCGATAAGAACAGCAGGACAGCAAAAGCTTTGGATCCACGCGCAGGGCGCACCCACCTCGCCAGTGTGAAAGTTAAACCTTCACGTTTAAAGCCCGTGTTTGTCACGCGTGCGCGGGGGGGATGCGTGCGTGCTTGCGTGCGTGTGTGTGTGTGCGCGCGGAGGGGGGTGTCTGCCGCGGATAACAGAGCAGGCAATAGGGGAAGAGGATGAGGAGAACAAGAGCAGTGAACTTACACACACACTGAAAACTGCTGGAGTTTATACCAATATTTTAGATCAAAGATATTTACTCAAAATGCCCTGAGCTGGAAACACATTCTGCTAAATGTTATTCCCTCACCGCTCAGACTTTTTCCTCGTTTCCTTTTTGATGCAGTCGAGCAGACAGCAGGTGATGAAGGCCACAGACATGAACATTATTATCCCTGAGCTGATGATGGACGCCAGAACAGCCACACGGAAACCGTAGTCCCCAGACAGAGCTGAGGTGAGAGAGAAGAGGAGAACTGTTGACTTTTTCAGTACTCATACGTCTCATTTATTACTCTGCTAAAAATTAGTGGAAATACTAACGGAAGTCAAATGAGAGCTGTTTTATATTTGCAGAAATTACATGCAGGGTATGTCATGCTTCAACATGTTAAAGCAGGACAAGAGGCAGGCAGAAATTAAACTTGTAACAATAAAACCTGACATCACACTAAATTATCTGCCAAGTACTCAGAGTATTTCTGAGCGACATGATTACTGAACGACAACAGGTGTGCTGGTAACCAACAAAAATAAAAAGTACAGAAAAACCCGAAAACAGAGAACTAGTGCCGAGGTTTTAAAACTTGTGACAATCCAAGAAAAATGAAGTAGTTAACAAAAGATGAAAGTTTAACACAAAGTACAGGGTGAGTCAAAAGTTTCAGGACAGTCTTTAATTCCAAAAACAAAAAGGAAAATTAAACATCTAAATACATCAGAAAGTAATGGGTGAGGAGGGGTCGATCTTTAGGCTATGTCCAGAACAAGGGCAAGTTTTCTAAAGATAGACCCTCTCACCCATTCCTTACTGAGGCATTTAGATGTTTAATTTTCCTTTTTGATTCTGAAATTAAAGGATGCCCTAAGACTTTTGACTCATCCTGTATAACTACATAAAGCACATTAAAAGTCTTGCTGGATGGCCTTTTTATAATGAATGACATGAATTTTATTTTTAATGCTGTCTTTTGATACCATGTTTGATGCAGCCAGCTGTAACACTGCAGTAATTATCTTGTATTTAAAGTAATTTTTACTTAAGTGTTTCATATTAAATCTCTTTCTAAGGAATCTCCAAAACCTATAAGGATTTGACCACACATGGTGGTGATAAAAAAAATGGTCTTGATTTATGTGTTTTTTTTTACTTTATTTTTTTACTCACGTCGGCAGTACGTCCCCCCAACCCACTGGGTGCTGTTGGGGCCCATCACACACGTCATTTCTTTGCCCACCAGTCTGTGTTTGGCCGGACACTGCAGGGAGATGACGGTGCCCACATTAGTCCCGTTGCCCTGGATGATCCTTTGGGTGCCCAGAGGCGGAAGAGGCAAGGGCGTGCACTGGTAACCTGATGGCAGAGAGCTGGTGGTCAACAGGTGGGAATGAGATGATTATTCCACAGCTATCAGCACTGAAACACAACAATATGTGACGAAACACCCCCACCCTCCATCTTTGTAACATGCCCACTCATCCTGCATCCACTGCACCTGTGCTTCCAACCTCACAGGTTTCTTGTTTGAAGGGGGCATAGGCTCTGGGTCAGACTCTGGTTCTGGGTCAGACTCTGGTTCTGGGTCAGACTCTGGCTCTGGGTCAGACTCTGGCTCTGGGTCAGACTCTGGTTCTGGGTCAGACTCTGGTTCTGGGTCAGACTCTGGCTCCAACATGTAAGACAGGATGGACAAGTCTTCCCTTGTTCACATCTTTTAATTAATTTGTAAATAAAACATTCCTGCTCCGCTATATAGTCATAAACTCCTCTATCAAACTAGAGTGGACCACTCTGGAAGCTGGGGTGGGGTGGGGGTGAGGTGAAGCACCTCGTTTGGATTTAAAGAGACAGACTCAAAATGAGTCGATCTGAGACACACCTCAGGAAAGAGATGAAAGAGGGGCTTGTGGAGTTACAATAAGGAGGAATTCAGACCAAACCATTTCAGTTCCACTTTATATAAACCCGAACTGAAGGATTTAAATGTGAAAAAAGGATTTAAAAGCAGGATATGTCCACTTTGGAACCAAACAGAACAGCATGCACCAGATTACAGCGGAAATATAACACAAGAGAATGACTTCATCATGAAAAAAGATGGATATTGTATTATTTTTGGTGTTTCCAAGTGAGTTCAAGTCCAAGACAAGTAGTGATCTTGTTTGGAGTGAGAAACTTTTGACTGGTTTCAACATAATTCTCAATTTGTGGCAATGAAAGCATTTGACAAATTTTTCTGTGTATTTAATAATTTATGACAATAAAAACCGGAGGTGAGTGAGTATATTAATTCATCAACGCATTGCAATATTTTTATTTTCCAAGTTTCACTCCATCTTTAGAACAAGTATTTGTGGCAGTTGTTGGTCCCTCCTCCACTTGAGTGCAGCTGCACCTTCTCCTGCTGGGAGCTTTATAAGGAGCTCACTGGGACTTGGAGCTTTGCTGGAACATCAGCTGCCTTGGGTATTTGATCTCAGCCACAGTTAACTTCACGATACCTGAATTATACTTTCCTCGTGTGTCTCCTGAGGTGGTTCCGAAGCTCACGTCTTCTCATGATCCTTGTGTGACTAAAGCTACTCACCTGCTGCCTCGCCTCCTGTGGGACAAACTCACCTGCCTCGTCCTTTAAAGAACCTTCTGAACAAATCCTTACCTGTCGTCACTCGCTGTCCATCCTCCAGCATGAAGTAATCCAACTACAGATCTACAGATATCCTTTCATCAGAACCAACCTGACCAATCCTGCTTCACTCACTGGTTCAGAAGCCCTGTTCCTGAGGTCATCTCTCTACTGAGTATTGTTCCTCTGATGGTGATATTCCCTTTTTGCAAACCTGATATTGTGCTACCTCTGTATTTTCAGATATTTGATTTCTCAAAAATGTTAATATACAGTATTTCTGCTTATCTGGGCAAGAAAATAAATATTTAAAAGTTATCCACAGGGGCTCTAATGAATCACTTGTGTACTTCTTATGAGGTTAATAAACCCCAGGTCCATTAAAAACACAGCATTCTGTGAAGCAATGCACATCACTTCATGCCGGAGTTTCAAACTGAGATCATTATGTTTTGTAAAACAAAGTGTTGCTCAAATATTGGAAATACTGACATCACAAGAAACGTGTCTTGCGATTTGTTAGCTCTCAGAGTATGTATGACCTGGCGATGACTCTCAGCTCATACCACACCACTGTAAAGCTGACTGAGGAGCCATTTTTGTGTTCAAGTTGGATTTGCTGTTGCTGCTGTCTTAAAACAACAAACTTTGTTCAGTTATAGGTGTACATCTGCTGATTACTTTGCGCTTCATTAAACCTCATCTTATTGGTAGTGAGATATTTTGCTGGCAGGCAGGGCGACTCCATCAGTTCAAGCCAAACATTGTTTGTATTCTGCAGAGCTTGATATGTGAGTGAACTGTAGTCATTTTTGTTGCACATGGTTAATAGCGGCAGGCGACCATCTTGAAAATTTAATCAGTTGGATGTCTAATAATTGGGTTTGGAGGATTTCATTAAACTTAATGGATTCATGAGATATTTTGCTAACAGAGTTAAATGATCTGTTTCTATCGTACATCTCTGCACATTAAGGTGGAGCCCCTCCTGGGACCACAAGAGGTTCTAAGTAATGTCAGTTTCATTTTCAAAGAACAAAAACAGGGAGGTGCCCAAATCACTCATCTTCTTCTCAGACGGAGTCTTAAGAGAAAACAAACCCACGGTTGCAAAGGTGGTCAGCTTTATTTCAACAAATACACATTGTGCTAAGATGAGAATAAACTTCAGTGCAAATGTCACTTTATGAAGTGTGGCTGCTGTATAATGAGCACACTTTCACTTCCGCCTTTTCTTTTCTTTGCTGTCTGTCTTTGAGCTAAAATAATTCAGACTTGACTTCACCAGTCTGTCAGAAAATCACTGAACAGAACTTGTTGCTCTGCAAAAAACAAATTGTGGTTTGCACCCAATGAAGAAAACAGTCTAATGAATCCAACGATGTCTGCAGTGTTATATGTGTGTGTGTGTGTATATATATATATATATATATATATATATATATATATATATATACACATACATACATGTGTGTGTGTGTGTGTGTGTGTGTGTGTGTGTGTGTGTGTGTGTGTGTGTGTGTGTGTGTGTGTGTGTTATTATGGAATAGTTTAAGTTGAAGTCAGCTTAGAATGAAATAAATATAAGTACCAAAACTAATAACATGTGAATCATTGAATTCACTCTTTTACACAGCTTAGTAAATAAATACATTTATGTTGTTACAGTACTTAGGTAATTTTACCAAGTCATAACTTATACTTTTATTTCATTACTTTCCAAACATCAAAATGATGCTTTTACTTCTATGCTTTAAAATTTAACACCTGGAATCCATCTTGCACATCATGTACTTGAAAGTAAACTGGTTCATGGTGTTGGGTACATATCTATCACTGAGATCTTGAACTGAACTTTGCTGTCTTCTGCTCGTTACAAATTTTAAAAATGGCCGGAACTCATCATGAAAAGAGTTGTTTATGCACTAAAAATAAAGTGTCAAATTTACTGAGCCAAGTTCTGTCAACTGATCCACTGAACCGAGTGAAGCTCAGTTTACTCAACTTGGTTTAGTGGATCCAGTTTAAGTAAATTCAACACTTCATTTGTACTTTTACTTTTAGGCTACTTTACTGATTAGTACTATTTTTATCAATGAAATAATTTTTTACCAGACATTTCCTATTAAGGTATTATTTTGTTTTATAATACTTTATATAGGATATTTTATGTGCTTTACCTGAGTTATTCCGGAGACGGCGGACATCTTTTTTGGACCCATCTGTTCCTGAAGCTGTGGCCCCGGACATGTTGGAGACCCACAGTCCGCTCTGTCTGCTGTGCGTAAAGAGCGCGCGCAACGGTGCCCTCTTGTCCGGCACAGGCTGAACAAATCCTCAGCTCCTTGCTGCAGAGGAAGCTTCAAAGTTTCCCCCTTGCCTCTCCACGAGCGAGACCTCCTCCCCCACCGCGGCTCCCCGCTGCTTTGAGTCAGAGCAGCGCGCCGGACGTGGCAGCAGCCGCGCGGGCGGAGACTGTTGGAGATGCGCGGTGAGGTGAACAAGGAGGAGAATGGGCAGAAATAATTCTGTGGATTAAATCGAGTTGGGTCAGGTCAGGCTGCGCGTCTGCGTTTGGAGAGCAGGGCAGTGACGAGCAGCGCTGTGACGCACGCGCACTGCTCAGGACGTGACGCGCTGCAAATGTTCAAACGCACCCGCGCGCGCACACCTATTTCATGTCTTGCTATCTTCACGGGGACTTTACATTGACTTCCATTCATTGTTCATTCATTTATATAGCCTAACCCCAAACCTTAAATTTATAACCCCTCACCATAAAATGACATTTAAACTCACGGGGCCCCGGCTTTGGGGCCCTTGGGTCCTCACAAGGTTGGAAAAATGGGCGCAGACACCTACAAACATGACATAAACGTTGTCATCATGTAAGATGTTACTCAAAGTTTACAAATAATTATCCTGTGGCAGACACGTTTGTATTTCACACATGTAGGCGCTTATTGTGAAAGTCAAGAGAGCAGAAGATGCTTGTTTTAGGAGGGGAAAGAGATTAATGCTGTTCAATTCATTCCTGTTTTTGCTGTTGGAAGTACATATTTATTCAAGCGAGACACAAACACCTCTTCGTCTCTTTGTCGAATTCCGCAATCCCTCATTTATGAGATTCCTGATTAAAATGATTAAGGATTTTCCCAATTTTGGACACATTTCACCTGATTATCCTTAAAATGACAGAGCCTTAAAGTGATCAAGTTGAATCAGGTTTCTTCAGAACACTGAATAAGTTTTAACATCCAGTATCAGGCAGTTTATAAGACTGAACATTTTTCACTTCCTTTTCAACACAAATTGTGGTCAACCTGCTGAAAGCTGATCTGGAAGCGTTTTACCGAAAGTTTTTGGTTAACAGCGGGTAAAATAAGTATTGAACACGTCACCATTTTTCTCAGTAAATATATTACTAGAGGTGCTAATGACATGAAATTTTCACCAGATGTTGGTAAC